GCTTCTCCCCCTGGGGTGGGTGCTGTTTTAGTGCCTGCCTCAGGTGTTTTTGTTTGTTATTTTCATGTTATTAAAACCTTTTATTTTGGAAGAAAGCGATCATTGCCCATCCCTCCTTTAATCACCACTGTCCTCCTGTTCGCTGAAGAAGACCACCCTGGAGGTATTACTGGGGTCCCACTGGGAGTCTTATCTTCCTGGGCAAAACCAGCAGCATAACCCACATTTTTTGAAAAGTAATACTGGTGGCAAATCTCGGCTGAACTACAAGAGCACCTTCAGACCTTTCTGCTGGACAAAGAGTGAGCAGCCGAGAACAAAAACAATGGGAGCTAATATAACTACAGAAGAAGCCTCTGGGCTTTCTATGTTTAAAGCCCTTTTAAAGGACCATGAGGTGACATGGAAAGACTATGATTTAAAGCTGATGCTGAAATGACTTAAAGTACAAACCCCTTCTCTGGACTCTAACCAAGTGTTCCAAGTAGCTGTATGGGATCAAGCAGAGGTTAAGCTCTGGGACGCCGCCACAAAAGGCGATGACACCTCAAAGAACCTGCTGAGCATTTTGGAGGACTGTTTATGAAGCCCTTAAGGCGAAAAGGGGGGCCACAAAATCCAGCAGCCCCAAATCCTCCTCAGCCATCCCTACTGTCCCTCCCTGTCCATCGGAGGATGAGAAACAGACAGGGATTACCGATGCCACTGCAGTGATGGCTGCCGACTCTTTGGACAGTGAGGGCGAAGAGGACCCTTTAGATCCGGGGCTGATAGATCCTGAGAAGGAGTCAGACTTATATCCACCGAACGGTGGGCCAGACCTGTGTAATTGGTGGCGAAAGCTATGACAAGAAGCATAATCGCCCTTTAGATGAAAACAGTCTAAAGAGACTTTTATTATGGGCCTGTAGCCAAGACCCTGATCTAAATACCACTAACATTTTTAACCCCGAAACATGGGATAATCTGGGAGTTGTTTTATGGGTGATGAGATGGTCATTGCCCTTTTAAGCCCCTGGCGAACTGTCTTTGAAGTGCTAAAAAAAACCCCCCATATTTCTTTGGGAACTGCTGAGCTGAAGGGAGATTCCTCTCCCACTAATGACTCAGAATCTTCCCTAACTCTGTCTGCTGCTTCTTCAATAAGGTCTCAGCAAACTCTGAGGGAGGAACTGATTGATGCCGTGAGAAGTATCAAGGGAGGGGGGGGAGCTGAGAAAGGATCCCTGGGAACCTGACCCACTTGACCCAGAAAAAGAGCCCGATTTGTATCCTCCTCTGGATCCCCCGACCGATGGGCTGCTGTTTGCAAACAAGCGGCAGCCGACAGGGGTGTTGAAATGTTGCAAACGTTCCCTGTAATAATCAGACTAAACCAGGACCCACAGTGGGAGGGACTGCTGTATTCTCTTTTGAAAGAGCTCCATTGCCAGAATGATTTTAACTGGAATGCAGTACACCGTCTGGCAATCGAAATGGAAAGAACTGTGTGCACAAGCTGTATCTAATTTCGATTGGCAAAGTCCTCTCTGACAAATCAATCTAGAAGTACTTGTGGGAGATGGTCCCTATGCTACCACAGCTGTCCAGGCTTGATAGGCCAGTGGGAAGAGAATAATGGCCAGTCTCCACTCCGCATGATTGAGTGGATTTTTCTGTCTCATCAGCCGCATAAAACTATCGTTACTAGGACAGACATGCTTGTAGCCATAGTCATGAAGGGGAGAAAGCGATGTAGGGAGTTATCCGGCTAGGAAATCCATTGCATTTATCTACCTATCAACAAGGACTATTTAACATGGCTTTTACAATATTCACTGTTGGTGCAAACCGCTTTAAGTGACTTTGGGGGAACAATTTCGGTACACTTTCCAGCACACAAACTTTGTGACATTTTACAGACTATATCCATAATCAAGCGACCACAACATAGTTAGACACTGCTGGACGCGCCCGCCGTCTTCACCGATGGATCTGGTCGTACAGGGCGTTCCATGATTGTTTGGAGAAATGAAATTGGACAGCGGCAAAGTGACATTCAACATATATCAGGGTCACCACAAACCGTGGACCTCACAGCCATTGTCCAAGTCTTTGAACTATAGTCTACACCTATAAATATTGTCATCGATTCACACTATGTTGCAGGAATAGTCTCAAGAATGGAAAAGACATGGCTAAAGACAGTGGACAATGAACATTTAATTATTTTGTTTAAATGACTGTGGCACTTAATCAGCAATGACATCCATATTATATTATGCACATCTGTAGCCATACACAAATGATAGGCCCAATAGTGGAGGAAAATGCAAGGGCCGACCAACTGGCCACTGGCATAGCGACAACTGATCCACAATTACCAGATAATATGACTCAGGCTCGCCTTTCTCATGAATTCTATCATCAATCAGCAAAGGCACTAAGGAGCATGTTTGACATCTCTCTAGATGCCGTGCGCCAAACCGTAAAAATGTGTCCTGATTGTCAGATGGTAACCCCATTAAGCCCAGGGGGGCATAGAAGCACTCCAGCTATGGCAAACAGATGTCACACACATACCTGAATTTGGGCACTGCAAATATATCCATGTGTCACTAGATAGCTTTTCAGGGGCAATATGGGCAACGCCGTTAACAGGGGAAAAGGCTCGGGATGTGGTTAAACATTGGTTAGCTGCCTTTGCTGCCCTCGTCGCATAAAAATGGACAATGGCCCAGGTTATACCACACAAAAAACCTTTCCGTTTTAATCTAATTGGGGAATACAGCACATCATGGGCATCCCAATCGCATAAAAATGGACAATGGCCCGGGTTATACCACACAAAAAACCTTTCTGTTTTAATCTAATTGGGGAATACACCACATCATGGGCATCCCACACTCCCCCACAGGACAAGCCATAGTAGAACGGGCACATAGCTCACTAAAAAATATGTTGACAAAACAGAAAAGGGGAATGTGGGGGAGAGCCCACAGGCCTGAATTAACAAAACCTTGTTTGTATTACATTTCTTGAATAGAACGCAGAATAGTGGGCCGGAAAATGAAGAGGTGCCGCCTGTCATCCGGCATTTCATGGCTCTGAGAGGGGCTAGCATAGGTACTACGCCGATGGGGGGCCAGGCAATGGTAATGATCAAGGATTTAGAATCTCACCAATGGGAAAGGCCGTTTAAGACAATAACTTGGGGGAGAGGGTATGCTTGTGTTTCCACAGGAACAGGATGGAGGTGGGTGCTGGCAAGGACCGTGAGGCCATACCTGGAAGCTCAGTCACCAACAACAGCTGCTTTACCACCGGAGTCACCAACAACAGCTGTCACACCAGTGGAAGAATGAAAAGAATCCAATGGACGGCCACGAACATATGGATCCCTCAGCAACCTTGAAGAAACATCTGGGTCACACTTGCCAACATCACTGGACAAGACACGATCTGTCTTTCGATAGCCACCCCGGAAAACACGTGTTCTACCTGTCTGGTCAGCATTCCGTTAGC